ATAAATGCAATATGGGTATCATTTTCGAGGTACTTGGGGGTGCTCATTACGAATATGGCACTCATTTGTAAATCCAAGATGGCGGGCACGATTTTTTCAAAAAAATGCTATGTGGGTATCATTTTCGAGGTATTTGGGGATGCTCAATGCGAATATGGCACTATTTGTAAATCCAAGATGGCGGGCACGATTTTTACCAATAATGGCAAGTTGGGTATCGTTTTCGAGGTATTTGGGGGTGCTCATTACGAATATTGCTTTTATTTGAACTGTCGTGTTTGCCATCTTGGATTTAGAAATGAGTCCCATATTTGTATTGAACATTCCCAAACATCTTGAAAACGATACCCAACTTGCCATTATTCGAAAAATCGCGCCCGCCATCTTGGATTTAGAAATAAGTGCCATATTCGAAACCTAAAACCGAAAATACCATAAGCAAACACTAAAGAAAATAACTGTTAAAATAGATTAAAAAATCGCTTAAGAATGCTCCCCTTTTAAGAAAATAAAATATTTTAATATAAAATATTTCGCTTGAGTTACGAAAAGAAAGACATATAATAAGCTATCAAAGTTGTACTGGTGGTGCCAACACTATAGTAGAAACAAATATATACTGTAAATTTGTTGCAATATGTGCTCCAATTCAAATAAAATTAATATAAATAATTATTCAATAAAGCATGAACGCAGAGCCGTTAAAAGTATTATAAAATAATTAAGTGTCCCAATCACTTACAGGAGTTAACGAAAACATTTAATGTTTATTCGAGTAAATATTAGTTCAAAATGCGCAAATAAATCGAAATTACAGGCACCACTAAAATTTACGTAATATAATTATTTTGATACAGAATAGCAAAATGGGGAGAAAAAAAATTCGTTACTTTGCAACACTTTCGTATCTTGTTGCCGCGAAATTATTTTTCTGTTTTAGTGAATATTTACATAAAAATATGAGTTGAAACGCATTACTTACTTGTGGAATGCGATGTTAGTGTCTATTTTGTTTGTCTGTTGTATTTTTACACCCATTTACCGCACATTTCGTCATTTTTAGCAAAAAATTTTGGAGCTGTTCGCGGTGCAATATGACCTTGAGCACTAACAGCCCGCGCGCTCCTGGGACGCGTTTGGAACCCTCTAACTTGCCTCACTTAGCGTGTGCGGGCTAGGTTTCTATGCGTTATTATTCTAAGAATATGCCGTTAATAAAGTCACTTTTTAAATAATTGTAACTGCAACTTTATGTCGATGACTTAAAAGTATAATAAAACATTTAATTCCAAATTCAATTTTAATCGAAAGTGCACTAAAATTTCGAAACCATTTTATGCCACATTATAAACTTTTAATTTTCCAATATGAAGTTAATTAATTATGCGTAAATTATGCGTATACCCAAAATAAATAGCTACCTCCACTGATTTAAATTCAACTGTACCTACTATTGAAGTTGAAATATTAACTGGCCGCTGACAAATTAAGACTATTTGACTGCTTACATTTACGTATTTTACCCTGTAATAGCGTTCCTCATAGACAAATATCCTTCCAATATTTTATTTCCTAATGCGGCCTGTAAGGACAAAGCTGACAATGCAGAAAGCTGGATATGGAATTCCAGACAATCGACAACAGAACTTTCGGGTCGCAGTTGGTGTGCGCCTACGACCGGCGCGGCAGCGCTATTTCCCATACAAAACATCTTTTATGCACGTTATTATTGCAGCAGTTTCTTATAAGAGATTATTTTTTTCGAGATACGGAGTTCATCACTACGATGACTAGGTATTCAACAACTCACCTAATAAAAAATAAATACGTGCAACTATGAGAAAGTCGTGTGAATGAACTGAATGAGAAAAAAAATTGTATACTTGCTGATTTGGCTTGAGATAAGACTCACATTACGCAAAATATGACGCAAATTGTTGTGACGTCGATAAAAAACAACACCCGTGTAGCAGAGCCGCGCCTCCAGTGTCTAACGTATGTTTACGCGGGAAAGACGCATACCGGATTTGAATTTCCCGCGCAATTTACTTTGTATTTTTCAATTAACGTTTATGATTTTGTGACTCAAGATGGATGGTGATGAGGGTACAGTATTTGTATTTAAATATTAAAAATAGTTATTATTGTAGGAAAGTGTGTGTATATTAGTCTATTTTCCACTGCACTGTAAACATACTAGCGTTTTTATTTTTGTATTGTGATTTGAACAGCAGTGCCTAACAAAGAAAGTCGTGCGTAGATTTACAAAACAAAGTTTTACTATAGCTAATTTGTGCTAATGTTAATCACGCCAATTACGTGGTCCCAAATTAGGGAATTCTGGGCGCTTTATACAGAACGCTAAGATTGATTTATAAAACGAACTTTGTTTAAGTTTAAACAAGTAGTTTTGAACTAAACTAAAAATTTAATTTAAGAGCCTACTACCTCAGCACGAATTCAAATTGTATTAATACGGTTCATTTTTCTTTGATCGAGCGGCATTCCTGCCGCTGCGACCACTGGCTTTTTTTCAGAATTATTTTTTTACGAAAAATGTATATCGTATATTATACGTACGTAAAAAAAAATCATTGATATATTGTGTAGAGTATCTATTGAAGAGTTTTTTACTATCGTGAAAATTTTTAGTAGTCGTGTTTTCACACCTTATAGTAATCATGTATATCCACAATTGTACTATATATTTTTTCCAAAGTGAATGATTCAAAACTTTCTTTGTTATGCGGAATCAATCAAAGCCAGGCTCTTAAGTAAACACAAAAAACTTGCTTAACTCGCCATTTTTGCTTAGTCGAAGTCAAAGTTCGTTTTTTTTGCCGGTCAGAAAAATCTTCATGTCCTTGTGAGAGATCCGAGCGGGAGCGAAACGCGCACTGTGTTTTTTGATCTCATTCCACAAACATAAAAAGCTTTTCGGCTTAATAAATATGGTGAGTCTCTTATAAATATCAGCCTGAGTCTAGAACCAATTTAGAAAAGTTCGATTCCTAAAGTTGTTCTACCGGGAATCGATCCTGAGACGCACTCATATAACCACGCATTAAAATTGCAATCGGAAACGTTGAAATAACAAAACATGTTTATTTGTTGCTTCGTCTACCAAAGTCCAAAATGCTGACTTGATGAGTGTTCGACCAATGTAACCAGTTTTTGTTTAAAATTTGTATACACGAAATTTAAATTCTTGTTGTAAGGTTCTCATTTATATATACATAAGTATACAAAAACAAAGTATATACACAAGTAAACGTTAAATCAAATGAGAAAAATTAAACCAAAAATTGTAATTTATTTAGGGTTACATCGTTCTTCACTTGACTAAATGTCAGTAATTTGCAAATTTTTGAGGCATCGTTTTTTATGATACCAAGGTACGGGACGAACAAGTCGCGCGCCTGATGTTAAGCGACACGGCTGTCTATAGCAGTTGTAGCGCCACTCAGAGCTTTAAATCACAAACATCACTGCCACTGCGCCTGTCATCCTGAGACATAAGTTGATAACTTCCATGCTAGAACCCTTATATTTCTGTTTTATTTCTAGTGTTTCTAGGATATCTAGTTTTGACTATATTAAAGCTGCGTAGATTTTGTTTCACATAAACACAGGCCTCGTAAATATGCATCGATGGTAGGGTTAATGTCTTCAGTTTCCTAAAGTAAGGTACGCAACTCTCTTGCTGACCCACACCAAACATGGCCCTGACACATTTCTGGGTTTTAATTAGTGGCATAAGATATGTTGTAGCAGCAGTTCCCCAGAATAGTAATCCATATCGCAAACAACGGGGTACATAAGCGTGATAAGCACAAAGAGCAGTTTTTGTGATGTTATTCTTGTCAGAAGTGTGTAGAGTCAGAAAGTACACTCGGAAGAAAGCTTAGGGCAAATCGAAGCGCTCTCCCTTGTTTCGGCCCGTTATAACCAAGAGGGTTCGTAGGGTAGGTGGATGGGTGCAAGACCTTATGGTCATTCTTAATCATTCGTAGCGTTTACAATTATAAGAACCTAGTAGTCGTCAGGAACGTATCAGCGAGTATAAAGGATTAGTCTTCTGTTATAACTACGCACTTATCTTCTTCAGCAGGTTTTACACGAACGCGGGAGTACAGAAAGTTTTCTTGTTTGTAGTGTTACAGTAGCTTTAATGTGCGCTATGAATATGATGGTGTCTTTAGAGATCACTCACGAGCAGAGATGGACAAGCGCCCGGGTTTTAACCCTTAAATCGATACTTTAGTAGCAGTAGAGCTCCGTGTCAAAGAGTTCGTTCAGGTAGTACTGCTACCTTACCTATTTCTGCCGCCAAGCAGTAATGTCAGCATTACTGTGTACCGGTTTTGAAGGGTAAGGGTGCTGGTGAAATTACAGGCACGTGGGACTTGTCAACTTATGTCCCAAGGTGACGGGTGCAGTGGTAGTGCCCCTCAGATCTTTGCAATTTAAAGCTCTGAGTGGCACTGTAACTGCACGACTTGTTCATCTCGTCACTCACTGTTATTTAAAAAAACTTTCTGTTTGCAAAATTGCACCTGTACTAGAGGTAAAGGACCCTGACATTGTGAGGCTAGTATTGATTTTTATTTAGTCTTCAAAAAGATTTTTTACATCAAAATTCCCTTGTCGCCGTTTCTACCTACGATTTTGAGCTGAAATGGATTGAAACTCAGAGCTTTTGGCAAAAACTCGGATAAAACCTGGGCGAGTTGATTGGGTTTTAACTCACTGCTCATCTCTGCGCACGGGATATAATTTTTTTGGGTAAATTTGTGTTACATTTTGGTACTTGTACCAATACCAAACCTGTAAACAAAATTAGCGTTAATAGCCAAAACTAGAACACGAGAATACATTTTCCTCATGTCTACCGACTATGGCGCCTCTACTCGTCTGTCCAGATAACTCGCGTGAGTGTTTTTTTGAGAATGAGAAAAATATTTTGGCTTCATATACAAAATAAGCCTTTTTTATAATATTAAGTGACGGGACGAAGAAGTCGTGCGCCTGATGGTAAGCCACAAGCCTGTCCACAACAGTTGCAGAGCCACTCAGAGCTTTAAATCAAAAAGATATGAGGAGCAATGCCTCTGCGCCCGTCACCCTGAGGCATAAGTTTACATTGACAAGTACCATGTGCCTGTAATTTCACCAGCACCCTTACCCTTCAATACCGGAACGCAATAATGCTGACATTACTGCTTGGCGGCAGAAATAGATAATGTGGCAGTATTTCCCTGGATGAACTATTGCACATAGAGCTCTATTACTACTAAAGCCTTCCGTGAGATGGTTTCGACTTGGGTTCTCTAACATACGATGATCGCCTCACGATGTTCTCTTTGACCATCATAAAGCGTGTAATAATTTAGTACCCTAAAAATTTATTTAGCTAAATTACTGTTATAATTATGATAGCTGCATAAATGGAAAATTTTTCGTTATAGTGTTATATTTCATCATAAACCGTTTAAATCATTACGATAAGCTGTCTTAAGGGCGTTATAAAGTGATTTGTTATATTATACACCTATATTGTAACACGGTTCGTAAAATGTACAGTCTTGTTAAATGTCCTACTTTTGCGCTCGGTTGTCCTTGTGAAAGAGTTCGTCCAGGGAAGTACTGCTACTTTGCCTATTTCTGCCGTCAATGTTAAGGGTGATGGTGCGGTTACAGGCACATGCGACTTGTCAACTTTGTCGCAGGGCGATGGGTGCAGTGGCAATGCTCCCCAGATCTTTGCGACAAAGGCTCTCAGTGGCACTGCAACTGTTATGAATAGGCGTGTCGCTTACCATCAGGGGGGTGATTCACTTAATCAAACCGTTACGGTAACGTAGCGATTTAGTCGTTGAACTGCTTTTCCGTATTCACGTGAGTGAACGTCAACGAGTGCAATTTTAAAATCGTTCGATCCAAATGTCGTAAGCGTATTCTGGTATATGAAACGAACTTAAATCGACTCTAAACGACAAGTCATATGTATTCTGCTAAAATTTTGACAGTTCTTTCTATAGACTTTCGACGACTAAATGTAAAATTTCACAATCCACGGTGTCTACTCATCAACGGTCGTTCCAGTGATACGTGAAACCCATTTTGGGTAGGACTTCGAGCGAACGACTACGTAACTTCAACGATATTTTGATAGCTTGAACTTACGTGAATCGCATTACAGGCACACAACTTGTTCCTCCCGACACTTGGTATCATAATAACCTGCATCCAAATTCGTGTATATTTGTTTTTTTAAACAAACAAACGTTTCGGGCATTTTACTTTAGGGTTAGCGCGACAGGACGCGACTTGCGCGAAAGCGACATAAAACGGGATATGTACACATCTCTTCATGTCGCTTGCGCGCAACTGTTATGGACAGGCGTGTCGCTTACCACCAGGCGCACGAATAATTCGTCCCATACTAGTTATTATAAAAAAACACATCCCAGCCCCGTATTAGAGACACGCTGTATCGCAGTCGCCATGGACACACACATAGAAATAACCGTAGGCCATACAAATATTTCTCCCGGCTCGAGAATCGAACCCGGGACCTCTGCGATGAAAGGCCAGTATGGTAACCGTTCGGCCACAGAGATAAAGTTATTGCTAGTTAAAGTTAGATAAAAGTATCAAAACCACAGACATATCTAGATAGACGCCGTAAGTGTACGTACTTCGCGTCCCCAAAGTAAGTGAAATTCACTCACTTGCCGCTGCTACACTTCAGAAGCACTAGTGTAAGTTTTACCAAAAAATTCGAATACGCTTCGA